GATCAAATAACACATAGACGAATGTATTATACTAAAGATATTCTGATACCAGATCAAATAACACATAGACGAATGTATTATACTAAAGATATTCTGATACCAGATCAAATAACACATAGACGAATGTATACTAAAGATATTCTGATACCAGATCAAATAACACATAGACGAATGTATTATATTAAAGATATTCTGATACCAGATCAAATAACACATAGACGAATGTATACTAAAGATATTCTGATACCAGATGAAGGAAAAAACTCTGTTTGTTGTGAATATTAACAAGTCCACGTTATTGACACAAAAGTTAGTCAACGCTTAAATTATTCAGTTTAAATCCTCAAATGTTCTGATTTAAGAATGTTACTTTGTTTGTCTGAGTGTTTGTTTGTCTCTTCAAACGTCGAAAAGGCTGAACCGATCGGGTCCAAAGTTTTTGTGGAATAGGACATGACCCAAAGGCTGATTGTGATTCTACTAAAAACTGATGTTTATGAATGTAAACGGCCTGAGGGGATCAGTCTCAGCTAACTTTTATAATTGTTTCCAAACTTATTCATCTTAAAATGTTGGCAGGGTTTTACCCAAACTACGTTACGCCCAAACTACACTTATTTAAGAGTTTCACCCAATTTTTTTGTATTCGTCTAATACACATTGCAATGAATTTATTACCCGATTTCCGATCATAACTCAAAAACCCCTGGACAGATCTGCCTCANGGTCCAGGCGTTATCCACGAGCAGTCTGTCTCCTGTATACACGAGCATGGTCTGTCTCCCGTATACACGAGCAGTCTGTCTCCAGTATGCTTGAGCAGTCTGTCTCCCGTATCCACGAGCAGTCTGTCTCCTGTATACACGAGCATGGTCTGTCTCCCGTATACACGAGCAGTCTGTCTCCAGTATGCTTGAGCAGTCTGTCTCCTGTTTACACGAGCATGGTCTGTCTCCCATATTTGAGTCTTTGCCACAAACTCTGATTTTCTAATCCATATATCTTTGCAACTAGTCGTAGACCTTAGATATTTCAACCCACGATTTCTGTCAGATCAAATAATCTATGTTTGAAATTGAAATGGTTTGCACCATCAAGTTGCAAAGATGAAGGGATTAGAAAATTTGAAGCAAAAACTTAAAGCATTAAGAAAATTTTAGAATTTGATCAAATTTCATAGATATAGAACAGTTATGCTTGATGTTTGAATGATTTACTATTGAGTATTTGTTGGTAGTGCACTACTGTTGTCTGCTATTTATTAGTATTGGTTGAATGATGGATGGTTTGTGGAGCTCTTATCTGATTAGTGGGGGGAAGTGGGGGTGGAGGAGGGGGAGGCAGCGAGGTTATAGAGAGATAGAGTGTTTGTCTAGGTTTATTTACTCCTTGGATCAAAGTTTTAATTATTAGAACACTTGAGGCACATTGGTCATCAGTGTTTTATGAATATATTCTTAAATAAGTTCAGGTGTTTAACCAACCCCAAATCTGAAAGAAAATTCTGTGAGGTATAGACTTATACTTAAAAAAATACAATTTGAATAGAAAATAGTACATTGTACCCTTAACAGGGAAAGTACCATAGCAGATCCTGATACCTATAGCACCTTAAAATAGGTAGTACTTAGTACCTATTAGTTACAAGTACTTTAAGTACCTAGTTATTCCTGATACCTATAGGTACTATATATATTATATAGCACTTAATAAAGTTATAGTATATAATACAGAGTATCTAGTAGATAAAAAGTAATTTGTACCTTGTAGTTACAAGTACTCTAGTACCTAGATAGTTCCTATGTACCAAGTACCTATCTAGTACCTATCTAGTACCTATCTAGTACCTATAGTATGTACTTATTTCACTTTCTATAACAATCAAAACTTTAGAAGAAGAGTAATTCTAACAAGAAACAAGTTTATCTGCACTTCTAAAATTTACTAAGTAAATAAAATACTAAAGTTTTCTTTTGTAACTTTTAGTGTAGAATTATCTATTTTGAATTATTTGTATGTCTTTAAACAAAGGATGAGAATTTAAGGAAGATCTTAAACTCTTCAAATAGGACGTGCTCTAAAGGAATTGAGTTTTTAAAAACAAACTCTGATTTTCTAGTTCCTATATCTTCACAACCCGATGTCGTAGACATTTGATATTTCAAACTATGAATTCTGTCAGAACACATAATCTAAGCTTAAAATATCAAAGGTTTACACCATCAGTTTCAAATATATAAGAATTAGAAAATTTGAGTTTGTGGGCAAAAACTCACTTCCTTTGTCATAGAAAGTAACGCTGGATAACATTTTAATTAGAAGTTTATTTGATGCTTATGCTGCAGATATGATTTCTTGAAACATTAATGTCAGAGAAGCAGTTACTAGAAATACAACACAGTTGAATAGACTCAAACCCATCAAATAAACATTTAAACAGGGCGAGAAATTTGTGTTGTTTCTCTATTTATTTGATATCGATGATCGAAACTGTATGTATATACTATACTAACTAGATTATATACGGATACACAGAATACAATTCTGATTCATCATATTCATTCATCTATCCATCTAAACTCATATTTGTCGACTCTTTATTTATTTCTGCAGTATTGCTACATTTTAATCTACTCAAACGGTTTAATTGTAAAACATGACCAATTTTTATGTGGGAGCATCTGTATATATAATTTGCTTGGTGGGACCTCAAATGACCCCAGGAAGGGTTCATGGATGCTCAGAATACCAAAAAGTTGTCTCTAAAAATTTTAGATTTCTGTAAAAATTTTAAAATCCACGAGAAAAATGATGGCGAACAAAAACCAAAATTAAATTTTGAAATATAAGATGGGTGCGAAGCGCCCTTCAAGCCTAGTTGTCCTAAATATGTTAACTTGTAAAGTTTATGTCATGGTCTTAAAAATCTGGACATTTTTGATAAAAATTGCAAAAAATATCTTTTTGCTTGATTAAATTAAAATCAATTAACTTAGTGTTTCAAAGCATATTGCGAACTAAAAAATGCACGTTTTGGAGCAAAAATGTTAATACATTTGTCAAACTATGTCTTTATTATAAAGTTAGAAACATGATCTTTGGAACTTTAATAGCAGACTAAAAAAGATGTAAACGCGATGTTTTAAAGCTAAAACAAGAGCAGATACCTGGCGAAACTTCATAATCGGCCCGATCTCAAAAATAAATGTATGATTAAGAACATTGTAGGCCGCTCTAGGGAAGAACTGTTATCTCTTTGTAAATAATATATTCCTTCATGGAAAACTTTTTTATCAAACTTTTATTATTCTATTTTCTCCGGGAGAGGGGGGAGGTGTCATACCATGGATAGAGAGGTGGGGGGGGGGTGAAGTTGGTTTTACGTCAAGTTATACAAAATATATTAAGATATCTGTATGCATGAATGTACATAACAAAGAAACTGAGTTTTAGGCACAAATTCTGATTTTCAAATCGCTATATTTTTGCAATCTGATTGTGTTAACCTTTTATATTTCAAACTATTATTATCTGATCTAAAATAATTCATAGTTTTAAATATCTAAGGTCTCTGACATTGAAATGCAAAGATATAGGGATAAGAAAATCAGATTTTGTGACAAAAACTGTTTAAAAAAGGGAACTCGTATTCAACAGTTCGGTCCTTATTCCAGCATGCTGTTGCTTTTAATCACAATTTGACCTTTCAAACATAATTTTTTTCCCTTTTCTAATTTATACTTTTTTGTCAACATTTACATTTAAAATGAAAAGGTATTAAAAGACAACTCCGTAAGTTTAAAGATTGTTGAATTATCGACCACAAACGAGATTAAATTAAAATAGAAGGAACCCAACTTAGTCCAGGGTGGGAGTAAGCTTAAAATTGTAAAATACAGAGATCAAACAAACAGGATTATGTCTCTGAACTTCAAGACAACAATACGTTACACATGATGAGGTTTTCTACTCTACTCCTGGTGGAGATGGGTCCTGTTTAGAAACAGACATGATGAGGTTTTTTACCCTACTCCTGGTGGACAGGGGTCCTGTTTAGAAACAGACATGATGAGGTTTTTAATACCGTCGTGAAGAAGTCTTTTCTTTGTCGTCTTTCTACTTCACTAAATTCAGAGCTCCACTGTAGTATCCTGGACCTATTGAGTGGTATTATATGTATTATATATATATGGTTAGAAAACAATATTTATTTATGTAAACATTGTTCAATTCCCTGGGATATTTATGTATTATCAAATAATGGAAACTGTTGTTATTCTTCACAACATATAATATTAAAACTAATCTTTATTCTTCATTCTTAGATCTTCGCTATTTTCAGATTTGATATGTACCTAATACATATAGGACCTGATAGGATTTTATTCATTAAACCCATATACAATACAAACAGGACCTGATATATAATATATCAGGAGGTTGTGATATGTATATATATATATTAAGTAGTGGTTAGCGTGTTCGATCCATAATCTAAAGATGCATGGTTCAAGCCCCGTCAACTGCAAAAATCAAAAACTGATAATAATTCAGCCAGACTGATGAGTCCTTATAGGACGAAACACTGTGTCTATGGATAATATATATCTAAATTCCCCTATTCTTAGTCAGCAAACTCTGGAGAAAGTATATTTACTCCTGTAATACTGTCTTTACTCCTTGTTGCAAAAACATCCTGTGTCTCTGTAGGATTAAAGTACCTGGAGAAAACCGGTTCAAGTTTTGCAAGACTCATCTGTTTCCCAAAACTCCAGGTAGGACGGAAAGCTTGATTGCTCCTGGATATATGTGCTCTTCTAAGACTATTGTCTCTGTATGTTGGAATTTAAAAATATCCTAAATTAAGGAATAAATATGAAGAAGCTTATTGAATTAATATAATGGTAGAACCTGACCCGGAACTAATTGTCGGTCAGCTGCTCCAGGTAGGCAGGGCAGGGCATGGGGGAGGGGGGGTCAGGTAATCTAGTTGGAGGCTGGCCAGCGCTCCCATAAGCCGGTCAGTGCAGGATACCCTAGTTCCAGTCCTAGCTCTCTACTGGATATATTCTAAATACAAACTGTGAGTATTTATTTACAACTGAATAAAATGTTTTTATGTGAATTGTTCATAACATAATTTTGCCTAATTTTAACACAAATTCTAAATATATTTAGAATGGTCTAAAATATGCATACTCTGACGCAAAATTCTAATTTGAATTCGCAAAACGCTTCTTCAAAACTAAAGCAAAACAGAACAAATTTTCAACTTCGAAATCATAATGTCCAAGGCTACAAAAAAAATAAAAGTGGGTCGGATTCAGTTTTAATTTTGGATGCATAACATTTCAAAGCTATTTAGATTATTAATCATTCTCTATATCACATAGTGTCTCATCATTGGTCAAGTCTTATATCTATCATGTAACCTTTATATTTTCAATGTAGTATTTATCTTAAATGATATATCTATCATGTATCAGCCACATTGTAATGATACAGATCAAACCATTGGATCTTACATGTACCGCTAGTAACCCCGGATAAATCCTTGCATAGTTGAATTATTTTAATCTTGATATTCTGCTCCTAGACTCCGATTAAACTACGATGTCGGAGGAGGAAGGAGGAGCAGAGGATGTCTCCTTCCTCCGAACTGAGGATATGGTGACACTATCCTGCACTGGAACTGGAGAAAGGGTTTGTCTATCAGCTGAAGGTTTCGGGAATAGACAATGCTTCCTAGAGAGTATTGCGGACAAGGTGATCTTCAGAAATATTATGAATCATGTTTAGTTAAATATTTATATAAACGACTTTCCCGTGGAATTTTGAAAAATCCAATTTTGAAAAAGGAAAAAATCAATTTTTGAAAAAAAGATATTTTGAATTTTTTTTAGTTTATGTTAGTACCCAAGGGTTCCCTCAACTGATGTCAGCCAATTTGGTCCAGGCGTTTGGCCATCTATAGCTAACATAACTTTATATGATCATATGCCGAGTCCATTAGCTCCTGATCCAATCAAGGGTTCAGTCATGTGTTTGTTGTCTATTCTTAACCAATAGAAATAGTATGGCGGTAACATCTATCTTTCTATCTATCTCATTCTCCACATAGAGATAAATCCTTTAATCGGCGCTATCAGTTAATGGAAATATTTACTTCTACTGAAACTATATATGTTATTATACAGATAATGTTTAATGATAAATGAACCATTGATAATTGCAGAATAATTGAGTGAGAATTTTATTAAAAATTCTTTCCAAGTAAGTCGTCGTCTTCTATATCAATACAATGAAGTCGTCTTCTATATCAATACAATGAAGACGACTTTATATTTCAATACAATGAAGTCGTCTTTTATATCAATACAATGAAGACGACTTTATATTTCAATTTTGATTTCTACCAAGCTTTCAAACAGCAGTAACACTTAAACTTTAGAACAAAGAGAAGTTTTCAATTCACAGTTTCTCTTTGTTTACTTGTAATCAAAGCGTAGTCGTCTTCATTGTATTAATATAATCGCCTACCATTGTCTAAACAAGTGTTATTATTTAAGAATGTTCCGCCTGACTTGTCTCAGTGTGTGTTTGTGATTGAGCAAGCACTCTCTGTTCGTGCTCTCCAGGAGATTATTTCTTCTAATGACGCTGAGGCGGTGAGTACATTTTTTCTCTCAATATTTTATCCAATCGCTATATCTTTGCAACTTACTGATGTAAACCTTTGATATTTTAAATATAGACTATTTGAAATGTTGAAGATCTATGACGTCAGGGTTACAAAAACAACCCAATTATTTCCCCGTATTTCCTATTTCTTGTATTCAGGGTAAAGGTTTAGGGTCCGGACATAAAACCCTTCTCTACGGAAATGCAATCCTTCTTCGTCACTGTAACAGTGATATGGTAAGTGTGCATTTAGAAGCATTTCTTAAATATTAACCTTTTTTATACGTCAAATAATATAAAAACTTTGCCTTGTCACAGAATAAAAGATTATTCCGATGCTTGCAATGGCCTTGGATATAGAATTGATCCAATAAAATGTCGAACTAACATCTAATTTTTTTCTCTACAGAGGTTTGGTCCATCACCATCCCCGAAATTATAGAAAATTCATTTGGATTAAGCTCCCCCCCCCCCCTCCACCCTCCCGTCAAAGTCAGTCCGGTTGGTTTTCTTAATTGTCGTGTGTAGATATGAATCCTTAACAGCTAACCTATACCTCCTAATAAGCAAGTGTAAAAGCTGCATGTCTTTCAATCGAACTGTTCCAATCTGAAAGAATATAAAAAGAAGATGAAGTTCTCCAGGGTTGAGATTAGGTCGGCATTCAAACTCTATTCATAGGATGCATCTCTATACCCGGAGAAATTTAATTAACCCCAACCTCGTTTCCTTTATATTCTTGAAATATTTTAACAATTTAAAAATATCAAAACCAAGAATATGTTGGGGGTACTCATACAAGAAAGGCAAATTTTTTTCAATATTTAAAGTATCGATTATTTTCTTTTTAAGTACCGAGTTTGTTTATCGAGTAGTTTGTGAGGAGTTTTATATAAGCTTACTTTGGGTTGCTTATCGAGTAATTTTCATAGAGGAAAACCTTTTTTTTTACTTTTATCTCTCTTAGTTGATTTTTAGTATATTCAACCTACAGAAATAAACTTAAAATAAATTTGAAAGTTTAAGCTGTGGATATATCGAGTTAAGTCGGTGCATGAAACTTATCGCTTTCCCAGACATAATTTTCGTCCTCAGGTTGTTCATACTTAGTACTTGGCTTATTTATCGAGTAGTTTGTAAAGGTTGTTCATATCCAGGGTTTAGCTTGCTTATTGAGTAGTTTGTAAAAGTTGTTCATATCTAGGGTTTAGCTTGCTTATCGAGTAGTTTGTAAAGGTTGTTTATATCCAGGGTTTAGCTTGCTTATCGAGTAGTTTGTAAAGGTTGTTTATATCCAGGGTTTACCTTGCTTATTGAGTAGTTTGTAAAGGTTGTTCATATCTAGGGTTTAGCTTGCTTATCGAGTAGTTTGTAAAGGTTGTTCATATCCAGGGTTTAGCTTGCTTATTGAGTAGTTTGTAACGGTTGTTCATATCCAGGGTTTAGCTTGCTTATCGAGTAGTTTGTAAAGGTTGTTTATATCCAGGGTTTAGCTTGCTTATCGAGTAGTTTGTAAAGGTTGTTTATATCCAGGGTTTAGCTTGTTATCGAGTAGTTTGTAAAGGTTGTTCATATCTAGTACTTGGCTTGCTTATCGAGTAGTTCTTCCAATGACAAGCTTGCTTTTGATGTTGGTCTTCAGGAACAATCTGAAGGTAAGGTTTTTAGTGTTGACAATTTATCTAAGCTTAGATTAGACGTTTTGTATGTTTATAATGAAAGGACTTCAACATTATATAGATGTAACATTTTAATGCACTATTTTTTAGGTTAATTTTTTTACATAGATCCAAACCAAAGCATGATTTGAAACCATGCCTGCTTTTTTACTATTTTTACAAGAATATTTGTTATGAATAGCAGAAAATAACAAGCACAGTATTGGCTCAGTTTTCAGAGAGAAAATAAAACTTTTCTTGAGAAGCAGATATGTATTGTAGATGATTATCTCCCTCTTTATATTGTTTTTGTTTTTCTATTCTACAAATGCGATCAAAAATCAGCCTGATATAGACTTATTTGATAATGATGATATAATCAATAAAATTATGATAATTTAATATAGATATTCAGTGTAGTGTACATATTGGATATATACATATTAACAAGATAAAGAATATAAAGCATAAATAAGATTAACCAGCGCCTTAATAATCAGGACCAGGATTCGTTCAGGGCTCTAGTAATCCAGGTATACAGATAACCCTCCCCCTTTCTCCTTAAAGGGAGAGACCGGATAGACATGGTAGTTGAGCTGACAGTGCAGTATTGTAGAGAGAAACTTCAGGATTTTTTTTATACCAATGAGACATTTTTACGGTGTACAGTTTTTAACTAAGATCGTAAAGTCTTCTGTAATATTTCACCAGTTGTTTCAGTCAGCAGAAGAAAGTTTCTTTACAATTCTGAAATACCATGGACAAAACAAAGTTTTTCTCTACAATCCTACACTTTCAGCTCAACTACCATGTCTAGCCGGTCCCTCCCTTTAAACCATCTTCCCGTTTCTCCTGCCCCTTCTTCCCTCCTCTCCTGTCCCTGTTGTGTTCTTTTACCCTTGTCAACTGCATAAATGGACAACCAAAAACTTAATTCTTTAGGGAACTGAACTATAGTTGTTAAGGGACTGTAAGCGTAAAGTCAAGTGACCCTCCATGCCAAGATGATAATTACCTGATTCAGAAGGGTAATCTTAAAAGCTTTGTCTGAGCAAGTGTAACATTTTAAATTATAAGAACTGATACTTTTCTATCGTTGTTTCTCTACATTTCTACTGGAAGGAATTATCAAAAGTAAAAAACTTTTAAACCTAGAAAAACGAATTGTCTCCACATTATTGATCATCTTCGCATGGAGGTTCACTTGTAATAACGCTTACAGTCCCTTTAACAAACACTAATTTGTAAAGAAACTTGTATCTATTTCACCTGCACGAGAAATACAAAATGTTGGTTTGAATTTCAAGAATTTTATTTATATTGTATAACAGAGTGCTTACAGGCATTAAAGATTGTATTTATAAAAAATCCTTTTTTGTGAATTGTGTAACCTTTAAAAGTTTTGTCTATTCTAAAATCTAAACTTTGAAGGACTGGCGACATCATTTCACGTGACTCGTAATTTGAACAGGGGCATCATCGATTCACAACAGCACTTTTTAAACTTTTGTCCGAGTAAAGGCGACCAAAATCACCAAAATGTTCTTGTTTTACTATTTAAAAATTTTAAGATTGTTTCCAATTGTGGACAATTGACTTGCGGATTTATGCAGCAGTAGCGAAGGAGAAAAATGTTAGAATTTATTAATTTTTCAGAATAACGACACTATATTCCTCAATGTTTCTCAGACAGAAGGTTTAAATGTGAATCGTGCTGACAACTCTTTAAATGGTGGGGGTGGGGGTGGAGGGAGATAATTACGTTTACATTCCCTTTCATTAAAGTAAAAATTCAATCAAAACTAGATCCCCCTCCCCTCCCCCTAAATATGAAATTGTTGTTTTTCAGCTTTCTTTGTAATAAGGAAACAATTTCTGGAATACAAATAACCCTGACATTTTAATCTGTTCGCTTTAATTCAGTTGAATTAACGAGGAATAATAATATTCTACAGGGAGACTATAAAATAAATTACAAGGGTAGGACATATGTAAAGAGGAGTGAGGTATCCCCAGGGTTTAGCTTGCTTATCGAGTAGTTTGTAAAGGTTGTTTATATCCAGGATCTTCAAAGCTATTTAGATTATTAATCATTCTCTATATCACATAGTGTCTCATCATTGGTCAAGTCTTATATCTATCATGTAACCTTTATATTTTCATCTTCGGTAGACCAAAATCAAACAACTCTTTGATCAAAGGATTATTTTGAAAACTGAATATATCCATCCATGAATTGTTCCCAGAATTCACCCACAAACCAAATAATAAAGATTTTTTAAATTCTAAATTCAGTAACAACATTTTAAATCAAAAGGAGCAGTGATTTAATAAAATGTATACAGAATGAACACCAAAGGAACTGAGTTTTTGCCACGAACTCAAATTTTATTTTATCTCTTGATATTTTCAACCCAATGTCGTAGACCTTGGATATTTCAAACTTTGAATTCTGTTAGATCAAATAAGTTAGGTTTGAAATATCAAAGTTTTACACCATTCGGTTGCAGAGATATAGGGATTAAATAATTGGAGTTTGAGGCAAAAACTCAATTTTTTACACAAATTAAAACTCTAATAAATATTTTTGTAAATATTTTGTTTGTTTAATCCCTCACATAATAAATATTTGTTATTTTGTAAGCTGCCATAACAAATTAAAATGAAATTAGGTTTGTCCCGCTTAGACACATTATAAAACTTAATGAAGAAGAGTTTTCATTGCGAATTACATATTGATTTGCTGTAAACAATATATATTTTTTAGATATGTCTTAACATTCAGTTTTTGATTTCAAATTTTATTTACTTCTTTCTAATAACGGAGTTTTGTGCTTGCTAATGCTAACCATAAACTGCACTCTACACAAGAGTGCAGTACAACTATTGTACATACTTTTTTCGTATAGAAAATGCTGGTTATGTTTGTTGATTGTTCAAAATATTATTTAAGAAGATCAACGGCAAATGTAAATGTGTATTTTCTCTTTAGCAAGAAGGTTTTTTTTAGAGTTTATTTTGACCCAAGCATTAGGGAAAATTAAAATTATTTTTATAATACGTTCAAAAATTGTAGAGATACAGGGCACATGGATAAAATTTCTAGATATAACAAGCGTTTTGGGAAAAAAGATACCTAAAAAAGATGTAAATAATTTCATTTGAATAAAGAAATCCTAGAAATACCTTCATTTCTTTTTTAGAAAACCCAGGAACCATTAAACTTTATAGCTCAGTGTTATGATGTACATCTAATTCAACACTGCACAATGAGTATTTATAGCACTGCTATAATACAAGTTGAATATGACCTAAGCATGAAAAATTTAAGTTAAAAAATATTTCATGAAAATGTTGAGGCAATTCAAAACTTAAATTCGCCAACGTTTTTAAAATTTTAGTCATTTAAAGGAAATACACAAGAAGAGAGAAGAAAATCACGAAAAAGATAAAAATACAAAAAAATTTACAAAATTTGGAAAAAAGCATTAAAAAAAACTGCAATAGAAAAAATTATAATGGCAGAAAAAAGAATAAATGATTACATTAAATGAGTAATTAAATTCACTAAAATCTGAATGAAAACACTGAAAAAAGAAAAGATTTACACTAAAAATTAATAAATTTACTAACCAGAGTAAATGTAAATGAGATTATTAAAAATACAATGTAATTGCAGTAAAAAAGGAAAATAAAGGATACTCTAAAAATCAAGTTTACATGACTCTCTGTTGTCTAGGAGAAGCCTGTTGGTGGACAGTTCATCCTGCGTCCAAGCAAAGGTCGGAGGGTGAGAAGGTTCGGGTTGGAGATGATGTTATCTTTGTATCCGTAGCTACTGAGAGATATTTGGTAAATTTTCAGATCTCTTTTATAATAAGTTTTTTTCGCGTAAGTGTAATTTCATTTAGTAACAACGCTAATTGGATATAAAACAAACTTAATTTTTAACAAAGCATACTTTTAGGAACTGTTTAATGTTCATGACAATTTCAGTTTCATTTTACCCATTCACGTATTTTATCAAATGTCCTTCAAATTTTCAAAAGCTTTAAGCAAGTCTAAAATAAAATGCTTTATTTCTCTAACATTGTACGTAGTAAATGAGTAAATAAAAACTAACTAAACCCCCAGGCTCGGTCCTACTACCCTCTGCTAAGAAATACTGATCTTTGTTTACAATTTTATTCAATGTTTTATACAATTAAACTACCACGTCATTTTAAAAATGTTCCAGTAAATAATAGAGTTTAAATTTTATAAACTAAGTTATGTATTGTATAAACGGATGGTTTTTTGGTCTTAGTAATTCGGGAATCAGTTGAAAGTGCATATATATATTTTATATTTCAGCCCAGTAGTTCTCCTTTAGATTAATAGTTGTAAATATCAGAGATGTTAAACACATGTTACAAATATGTAAGAGTGTGTTGCAAGTAATCAGTTTCTTGAATGATACCGTGGTAAGCATAATACTACACTTTCAAATGATTCCCTTCCCGAATTACTAAAAACAAATATATATATATATATATATAATGATCTAATGATTTTCTGTCAAACTTTCAACCTAGTTTTCTCTTACAGTTGCAGAAACTGAACTTATCTAGATATAAACTGTTTTCGACATCTATTTATATATTTTACTTTTCTGCATGGATGTTTTGTTTTTTGTTGGTTGGTTGGTTTGTATCCATCAAACGTCAACCAGCATGGCAAATCTCAATTTTATTGAGGTAACTCACATGACTCCAGGGATGTTTTATGGCTGGTCAATGTTAAAATATGTTGATTTGAAATTATTTGGAAATCAATCAAAAATCTGAAAAATACGCAAAATTTTTAGCTTTTTTATGTACAGTGTAAAAAATGGCGGCTTGGAAACAACAAGTAAACGCAAAATTTTCACAAGAAAGAGAGTCCGAATCTACCTAAAAGGGATTTATATATATATACATTTATATGTTCAGCAAGCGACCAAGGAGAATAACCAATCTATTGTGAACGCATCGTTCCATGTAACTCAGTGGAACGTATCTCCCTTTGGAACAGGTCTGAGCCGGCTCAAGAACCAACCTTGTGTCTTCGGAGGAGATGTTCTCAGGTTTGAATTTATCAAAAACCTTAATTGTTCGAATAAAATAAAGACCTGTTAAAAAATTAGATGCCATTTAAAAAAATTAAATGCCTAATCATTAAAGCTATTTATGTCATTGCTTTATTAGTTTACAATTTTAAATCTCTTTCTGTTGGTATTGAGAGATTTAAGTTCCCATTAACTTTGTTTAACATTTAGTACAGATGTAATTCATTTTCTATGTCGGGCTTGACAGTTTATTGTTTGTAAATCCTCAGAATTTCCTTCTAGGATTTAGATGGGAGCAATATGTATAAACTATTACCCTATCCTCCCCCTACCCCGTTCATAACATGCACCCCCATCCCCTATCCTCACTACCCATCTACACCCCTTAATCCCCTATATCCCCCACATCTTTGTATCCCCCTTTCCCTGCATTTCCCATCCACCTTTCCCCATTCCCATCCCCTTTTCCCTATCCACACTTTCTCCGTATCCCTCATATTCTTATCCCCCATTCCCCCATTTTTATTTCAATTGAAAGGAGATTAATTACCCCCAACATTTAAAAAAGATTTTTTACTATCAAAAATTATCAAAAACGCAAATCTTAGAAACAGAAATGATTTTCATATTCCTAGAATAAAATCTATCAAAATTGGACTGCTCCCCCCTCACAATTTCCCTAAAATATGGTATGAAAATAAACGACACTTTTCTAAGCTTTCAAATATCAATCTTATTTCGAATTTTAAACAGAATTTAATAGAAGATTTTTATCATCAGAACAAATGTTTTAATTCTAACACGTGCAAAAGAATCGAAGAAAGCAAAGACGACTTTACAAAGAAAAGAATAAAAAATTAAAAAAGTAAAAGTACAGCGCGGTATTAAAAAGATGCTTAAAAATGCCCATTTTTCATAAAACCTATATCTCTTTCACACTCCATAAATCTTTTTTTACTTTTTTAACATTACATATAAATCTATAATTTTTATTTCGAAAAGTTGTTAGTTCATCGTCGAAAAATACAAACAATCCACCACCAATTTATATTAAATATAGTGTAAACAATAAATATGTAACTTTCCTTATCCTTTACTTTCCTTTCATTTCTATATTTATATATTTTTTAGAATTGGGTGGAAATATTCCCACAACGTATACTTTTAGAGGTTTTTAAATATTTTCTCCTGAAACACTTAATTTTGTATGTTTTTTTTTATATTTCATAAATAAATAATTTTTTACTTTACTTTACATTCCTCTACCCTATCCGCCCTTTCCCAACTCCATACTCACTCCATATCCAAACTCTTCAATTTCTTGTTATTTTTCTAAATCAGATTATTTTTTAAGGTTCACTCATGGAGGGGACGAATGTCTTACAATCCCATCCAATTGGTCTTTGGAGTCACCAGAAACTAAGTATTATTAATAATAATATATGATAATAAAAAAGAATGATAATAACTTGATTGTAGTATTGTTGTGTATGAGGGTGGTTCAGTGATGCAGCAGGCTAGATCCCTGTGGAGGTTGGAGCTGGCTAGAACTAAGTGGGCTGGGGGATATATCAACTGGTATCATCCTATGAGGATCCGTCACATCACTACAGGGCTATATCTCGGAGTTATGGAGGATGGGACGGATGTTCGTCTGCTTAGCAAGTAAGATCTTGTATTTTTATTTAAAGATTTCATGATATTTAACTTTATTATTGTAGAGAAGAGGCTAATCTAGGAGCAACTAGTTTCTACCTCAGGGACGTCAAGGACGATAACAAGGTTTTACTAGAGGACAAGGATCTTGAGATTATTGGAGTTCCCAACGTTCGATATGATGATGTATCCGTGATAGCTCAGCATATAGAGACTGGATACTGGTTGTCCTATAAGGCCTACCAGGTTAAGAAGAAGGGGGTTGGTTTGGTTGAGGAGAAGAGAGTTCTGCTTCATGAAGAAGGAAGGATGGATGACGGGTGTGAGTTTGCAAGATCTCAGGAGGAGGAGGCTAGAACTGCCAGAGTAATTAAGAAATGTTCCGCTCTTTTTAACTCCTTTATCTCCGGCCTTGAAGTCATGGTTTCAACAAAAAGCACGGAAACTTTTCTCTCGGACTGCAAACTCTCTGAGATGGTTGGATGTCTTGATGATCTTAATAATTACTTTGTTCAACCTGAAGACGATTTGAGCCATGAGGAACGACAAAAGTTCCTGAAAGCACTCCGAAACCGACAGGATTTATTCCAGGAGGAAGGAATCTTGAACCTAATCCTTGATATGATTGACAAGATGAATGTAATCACAAGTCAAGGTTTGCTTTCATCCTTTGCAGGAGAGGAGGCTGGAGATCAATGGGAATCTATTTCAGCTTCTTTATTCCAACTTCTAGCTGCAGTTATCCGAGGAAACCACACTAACTGCTCCCAGTTTGCGCAGGCGCAGAGGCTAAACTGGTTGTTCAGTAAGCTAGGCGGAGAGGGTGCTGGCATGATGGATGTACTGTACTGTGTACTCAATGACTCCCCTGAAGCCCTAAACATGATGCAGGAGGAGCATATCAAGGTGATTATCTCCCTCCTGGAAAAGTTTGGAAGAGATCCCAAGGTTTTGGATATTCTGTGTAATCTGTGCAAGGGAAGTGGAGTTGCTGTCAGATCTTCTCAGAACAATATTGTAGATTTCCTTCTACCAGGGAAGAATCTTCTCCTCTACTCTGCTGTAGTTGATCATGTTGCTTCCTCCCGACCTAACATGTTTGTTGGATCAGTTCCAGGATCAAACCTTTACTCGAAATGGTATTTCGAGGTGTGTATTGACCATGTGGAACAACAATCCCATATGGCACCTCACTTCCGAGTAGGCTGGGGGAACACGTCGGGATATATTCCGTATCCAGGAGGAGGAGAGAAGTGGGGAGGGAACGGTGTTGGAGATGATCTCTACTCCTATGGTTTTGATGGAGCATATCTGTGGACTGGAGGAAGGAGTACCATGGTTATCCCTAGCGTCAATGAGCCCTATGTGAAGAAAGGAGATAATATTGGCTGTGCTCTGGACTTATCCGTCCCAATCATCACTTTCTTCTACAATGGAATGAAGATACCAGGATATTTTAGAAATTTTAATCTTGAAGGAATGTTCTTTCCTGTAATCTCTGCATCAGCAAAGATCAGTTGCAGGTTTCTGTTCGGAGGAGAACACGGACGGTTGAAATATTCTCCTCCGGAGGGATTCTCTCCATTGTATGATTGCCTTCTCCCAACCCAGATCCTGGCAATCGATCCTTGCTTTTATTTCGGCGAGGTTTCTAAAGGAGTTTTATCTGGTCCTTTACCTGTAGAAGATGATGTTGCATATATACCACAACCCGTAGATACAAGCACTGTAAGTATTTTCATTCCAATTTTAAAATTTCATCCTAAAAAATCTTTTTTTCTTAGATTCAACTTCCGAGCTTTGTGGAGAATATTCGAGACAAGCTTGCTGAGAATATTCATGAGATGTGGGCAATGGGTAAAATAGAAGCAGGTTGGACTCACGGAGAGAGAAGGGATGATACAATGGGTCTTCACCCTTGTCTTACTCAGTTCCAGAATCTACCCCAGGCAGAGAAGCGGTATAATGTTCAGCTTGCTGTTCAAACATTGAGGTATGTTTTATTAAAACTGCATGTTTTCTGTTTGCATATATCTAGAATATCTTTGTTATTTATAATTTTTTTAGAACGATCATAGCTCTAGGATATAATATCAGCATGGATAAACCTCCAGCAAGAATAAGAGCTGTAAGACTACCAAATGATCCGTTTCTTCAATCCAATGGATATAAACCTGCTCCTCTAGATCTATCCGCTATAGAACTAACAACCAAGATGGAAGAATTGGTTGATCTATTGGCGGAGAATACTCACAATCTCTGGGCTAAGGAGAGGATTAGTCAGAGCTGGACCTATGGTTTGAACGAGGACTCTGAGAGGAAACGTAGTCCTCATCTTCTCCCGTACATATATGTTGATGAGGCAATTAAGATAGCGAATAGGAACACTGCAAGTGAGACGGTTCGAACCTTGCTAGTCTACGGATACATTCTAGATCCTCCCACAGGAGAAATAGAAGCTACAGAACTCAAGGTCTCTCATCATCCTACTCACAGAACATATAGAGCAGAACGAACCTACGGAGTATCAAGTGGAAAATGGTATTACGAGGTAGAAGTTCTAACTCCGGGTTCAGTTTGTGTAGGTTGGGCTTTAACTGAAGCTTGTCCGGACGCATCTTTAGGTGGAGATGAAAGCTCCTGGTCCTATGATGGGTCTAAGGAGGAGAAACTTCACGGAGGAGTTAACGATACTTATGGAAAGAAATGGCAGGTTGGGGATACTATTGGAGTTTTCCTGGATACCAATGATAGAACAATCGGTAACTATTCTAGTACCTAAATTATTAAAAAACAGCCATTTAAAAAAATCTATTTTTAGTATTCTCTCTGAACGGAGAACTGTTGGTTGATCCATCAGCAGGAGATGCAGCATTCTCCGAGATACAAGGAGAAACCTTTGTCCCAGCCTGTACTCTAGGTATAGGACAGAAGTGTAGGCTTAACTTCGGACACGATGTGGATACATTCAAGTACTTTACTATGTGTGGTTTACAGGAGGGATATGAACCATTCTGCGTGTAAGTACCTTTATCATTAATATGTCAGAGGGAGCCACATCATATCAATTGCTATAAATTGAGATGTATAGATGTAACAGGGTAGGGGTTGTTTGTAAAGATTGCAAAGAAAAATAAGTAAATTTCGATTTTTATTTGTAAAAGACGAGACATAATCTGATATAATGTGATGTGGCTCACTCTGAAATTGTGATTGAACGGATTATTTTAAGAATACTTAAAACTTTTACACATTTCACCATTTTTAAAAATTTCCAATACTTTTTTGCCAATCCAGGAAATATTTGACTTTTCAGGAATATGGTGAGAGCAGTCACCTTCTGGTACACGAAGGAGCTCTCCTCCTTCGAGAACAACGAGGACCTGGATGCTCCTAAGATCGATGTGACAAGGTGCAGGATCGACTTTAAGTCTAGACAAATGATTTTTCAAAGTTTGAGACAAAATTTATTTATATTTTCTGAGTGACAGCTCCGGCCTGATAGTACAAAGGATAAACAACTGCATTCAAAATATAAATCAGTAAACAAACAGAAATAGCAAAATATAAGACAAGGGCAGTGTATTTTAATCCTTGACATTCAAGTTTATTTTTCATAACTCAAATCTTATCAGTAAACTTTCCTAAAAATGGAAAAATTACGTATCAAAAAATTATATTTACACCTGGAAAAGTTCATGAATTTGGAGGAGAGTGTGTGGGGGTGGGGGGTAAAACAAGCTAAAATAACTAGAAAATACGTTATTTCAAAACTATCTATTTTACAGATCTAAAACTTTATCTGTCTGTGCTGTCTATTGTCGGCGTATGCTGCTCGGAAATATCTCTTATAATTGATCTACATTTAGAATTGAGTCTTTGCCACAAACTCTGATTTTCTAATTCCTATATTTTTTCAACCCGATGTTGTAAACCTTAGATATTTCAAACCAAGAATTCTGTTGAATCAACTAATCTAAGTTTGAAAGATCAAAGGTTTACACCATTAGGCTGCAAAGATATAGGGATTATGATATTAGAATTTGTGGCAAAGACTCAATTTCTTTGTATCCAGGATGCCTGCTGGAGCTGATAATCCTCCGAGTCTCAAGATCTCCCATAATACCTACGAGCAGGAAGAGAAGGCAGACTGGGAGTTCATGAGACTTTCTCTTCCAGTCTCATGCAATGATCGATTCATCTTGTAAGTAATTAAATAAATCTTTTTTATTTTGAAACAAAAAATTGAGCAGTAAAATACTTTTAAATTTTGAAGGAAAAAATCAAACAAGTGACCCAGGGTACAAGTATCAATAGGTTATAGCATTCTAGGGTCACATTTACTGAAAAAGGAATTCATTATTGGCCACGAACTCTGATTTTCTAATCCCTATATCTTTACAACCCAATGACGTAAACCCTAGATATTCCAAGCTATGCATTTTTTTAGATCAAATAACTAAAGTTTGAAATATCAAATTTTTACAACATCAGGTTTCAAAGATATATAAATTAGAAATTTTGAGCTTCTTAAATAGTTCTTTTACAAAAAAGTAAGTTTTACTTTTGCAGGGAGCAGGATAAAGCCCGGAGATGGCAGGAGATACAGATGAGACAAGCAAGACAAGCAGGTAGAGGACCGCAGCAACCCAGGAGACGTGGAGGACCTGAGGACGGTCCAACCCCGGAGATGACGAGTCCCCAACCTGCCTCTATTGATGATGAGATGCTGGAGTTAATAAATGAATATTTCTATGGAGTGCGTGTTTTCCCCGGTCAGGATTCAAGTATGGTGTATGTAGGCTGGGTCACAACACAATATCATTTTCATACAGATGATTTCAGCAGAGACTCTGTAAGAAGTGTGACGGTACAGAAGCTGGACAACTATGGTGGAATAGCTGAGAGTGTGGAAAGGCAGAACTGTTATATGATGAGGGTGGATGAGATGTATGCTGAAGTGTCTAATGATCCTTCTGGCAAACCTCCCTCTACAGGGTTATTTGTTGGATGTTTCATTGACGTTTCAACAGGATTTCTCAGCTTTACCTGCGAGGGAAAGGAAATCAAGCAAAGGTTTAAAATGGAGCCTGGCACAAAGCTCTTCCCTTCGGTTTTCTTGAAAGCATCCAGCAAAGATGCTTTACAGTTTGAACTTGGTAGAACACAAACCTCTCTTCCTCTATCAGCAGCTGTGCTTGTCAACTCAGGAAAGCATATTATCCCTCAGTTCCCTCAAAGATTGAAGGTTCAGTGCATGAAACCAAAGACCTGGGCCAGGGTTCCAAACAAAAACCTTGTAAACCATGCTCTCAAGCTTTCTGATATACGAGGTTGGAGTTTACTCTCCGAGGATCCTGTATCTATGCTTGCTATTCATATTCCTGAGGAGGATAGATGTATTGATATGCTGGAGCTTATTGAGAATGAGAGACTTGCAAGTTTTCATGCACAGACCTTGAAACTATATGCAGCGCTTTGTTTTCAATCCAATTACAAGGCAATGCATGCAATTTGCGCCTACTGTGACCGGAAGCAGTTGCTGTATGCTATACAAAACGAGTTTATGCCAGGAATTCTGAGACAAGCTTTCTTTGATATTCTGATTTCCCTCCATCTGGAATCCTATGTATCAACTGTGGAAATAACCCAGAAAGAATTTATTGTTCCCATGACTGAAACTTTAATGGAATTATATAGTGAGCCGGATATGGGAAACAGCTTGAGATCCCTGGCTTATGAATCCATTAGACCCCAAATGGCTACATGTGAAATAACAACAGACTTTTCTAATATCAAGGAGCTTACTCTACCTGAGTTTGCACTGGATTCATTAAGAGAGTTTGTCATGGAAGCTCTTGAGAATGCAGTTTCTGTTAATCAAGTCGCAAACAGAGATCCTATTGGTGGAACAAACCAAGATCTTTTTGTGCCTCTGATTAAGCTTTTAGATAAACTACTTATGGCTGGAATACTCTCGGATGAGGATGTATCCAGAATGTTGATTATGATTCATCCTCAGACCTGGGATGAGAACTTCCAGACTTCTGAGAATAGCGAGCATAGAAAAGGAATCTTAAACATGGTGATTCATGAAGATGTGAAACTTGAATTATGCAAACTTATTCATCACATGTGTGATGTTCAAGTAAGGCACAGATTGGAAAGTGTAGTTTCTTTTGCCTACGGATATATGGGAGATCTTCAGTCTGACCAGCTGAGAAGATACATAGAGATTAAACAGTCTGATATGCCATCAGCAGTGGCAGCTAAGAAAACTAAGGAATTCAGATGTCCACCTAGAGAACAAATGAATACCATTCTTAGTTTTAAGACAATTGAAGATGAGGAGGAACTTGAAGAACATCCTTGTAATTCAGACTTAAGAGGAAGAATGTCAGAGTTTCATGATTCTCTTATGTCAGTAATGTCCATTGCTTCACTAGAAGCTGAAGATGTAGTTTTTCCAACTGCAAATGAGGTTGCAGATAAACCTAGTCTTCTTACATCATTTTCTGCAACATTAAAAGCTGCACAAGGGGATCAGGAGGATGCGGGATCAGCAGAAGAACCACATATCAAATCTGCTGAGGAGAAGTTTAGAAAGGTTCTAGTTGATACTATTATCAGGTGGGGAAGTGAAGCTGAAATTGAAAACAGAGAACTAATCAAGGAAATGTTTAGCCTTCTCCTTAGACAATATGATACTGTTGGAGAGCTTATGAAAGCAGCAGAAAACTCATATATCATCAACTCAGATACTACAGAAGATGTGAAGGATATGTGGGTTGCTCTCAGTAGGATTAGATCTCTACTACCCGTTCAAATGTCTAAAGAGGAAGAGGAACTTGTTAGAGAACTGCTGTGGACCTTGGTCAACAACCATGTATTCTTCCAACATCCAGATCTTATCAGAATTTTGAAGATTCATGAGAATGTAATCGCAATTATGATGAACAGCATTGCTAGATCTGATCAGGGTGGGGATGGAGGTGGAGAAGCGGAAGAAGAAGGAACACCAGGGGAACCAATTCCTACAGATACTTCTGATTCTTCAAGTGAAATGGTTGTTGCATGCTGCAGGTTCCTTTGCTACTTTTGTCGAACCTCAAGACAAAACCAGAAAGCAATGTTTGATCATTTGCTTTTCATCTTGGATAATGCTAATATTCTTCTGAATAGACCAAGTCTGAGAGGTTCAACCCCCCTAGATGTTGCATATTCATCATTGATGGATAATACTGAACTTGCTCTTGCTCTCAGAGAGCACTATTTGGAGAAAATTGCTGTTTATCTATCTAGATGTGGTCTAACATCTAACTCTGAGTTGGTTTCTAAAGGATATCCTGACCTTGGTTGGGATCCAGTTGAAGGAGAACGCTTCATGGACTTCCTACGCTTCTGTGTATGGGTAGGTGGAGAGTCAGTGGAGGAAAATGCTAATCTTGTCATTCGTCTTCTCATCCGAAGACCTGAATGTCTTGGTCCTGCTCTGCAAGGAGAGGGAGAAGGACTTCTCAGCTCTATAGTCAATGCTAACAATATGTCTGAGTCAGTTAGTAATCACATAAAAGCAGCAGAAAATGGCCACATATCAAACTACAGACATCCTCTGCCTTCAAGTGAGAACGATGAAGACTTTATTGACACTGGAGCTGCTATACTAAACTTCTACTGTACCCTTGTAGATGTCCTTGGAAGATGTGCTCCTGACGCTTCAGTTATAGCTCAAGGAAAGAATGATTCCTTGAGAGCCAGAGCTATTCTGAGATCCTTGGTTCCACTTGAAGATCTTCAGGGAGTTCTGAGTCTGAGATTTAATCTGGCAATGCCAATGCCAGGATTGGAGTCTAGAAAGTCAGATATGCCTTCAGGTCTTATTCCCAATCATAAGCAAAGCATAGCACTGTTTATGGAGAGGGTTTATGGAATTGAAGACAGAGATTTATTCTTCACTATTCTTGAGAATGCTTTCCTACCTGATCTAAGAGCTGCAACCATGCTTGAAAAACCAGAAGGAGGTGAATCTGAGATGGGTCTAGCTCTAAACAGATTTATTGGTAACTCCATCCTGCCTGCATTAATCAAATACAACCATTACTATTCTGAAGCTGAAAACTATAATCCATTATTGGAGGCCACCCTCCATACTGTCTACCAGCTGAGTAAAGGAAAGATGTTGACCAATGTACAAAGACAATCAGTTTCTGACTTCTTAATTACTCTCACCAGAGAAGTTGCTCCGTTTATGCTACTAAAGTTACTACGAAGGCTCACCACAGACCTTGCAAAGCTTAATGAGTACTCTAGTGTTGCACTAAAGATGTTGACTCTCTTCTATGAGCGTTGCAGTAAATATTATGGATCTCCTATGGGACAAGGTTCTTATGGATGTGCCTCTGATGAGGAGAAGAAATTGTCTATGGCACTTTTTAGTAGTATCTTTGATTCTCTGTCCAACATGGAGTATGATGCAAACCTGTTTGGAATGGCTTTACCCTGTCTCACTGCTATTGGTTCAGCTCTTCCTCCAGATTATGCCATGGTGGATCATGGAGATGAAGATATGTTTTCTAAACCTGGAGTTGTAAATGATATTGGACCATACACACCCTTGCCTATTGACACCTCACAGGCAAACATTAATAATGAACTGAACACTTTGATCCAAAAGTTTTCTGAGCACTATCATGACTCCTGGGCTCAGAAGAGAATAGATGCAGGCTGGACCTATGGAGATAGAAAGGATGTTGGAGCTAAAACACACAACAGACTGAAACCTTACTCCATGCTGTCAGAAACAGAGAAAGAAACCTACAGGGAACCCATCCGTGATGCAGTCAAATCCATGCTTTCTCTGGACTGGCATATTGAATACTCAGAGGGTGGAGGCCAAGCTCCAGCTCATGGAGGACATGATAACAATCCTCACAACTACAGACCTCAGCCAGCAGATATGACCAACCTAACCTTGTCAAAGGAGATGATGAATCTATCGGAGAGATTAGCTGAGGATGGACATGATATCCAAGCTCTACGAGAAAAGAATGATTTGAACTTGAGGGGAGGAGGTCCTATTAATCTAACTCTTGTACCCTTTGATCTTTTAACTGAATCAGAAAAGAAGAAAAACAGAGAACGTTGTCAAGAGCTTCTCAAGTATATTCAATTTACTGGTTATAATCTGTATAAAACCAAGAGAAATGAAGGTGACTCGTTATCTGACTCTAAGAATCCTGAAAATAGGTTTGCATATCGTCTGCTGGAGAAGCTCATATCCTATCTTGATACAGCAGCCAGTAGTATGAAAATATTGAAACCATCTGCAAACTTTACCAGACGGAACAGCTTTAGCAGACCTAACAAAAATGTAAAATTCTTTGTCCGAGTTGTGCTTCCCTTGATTGAGAAATATTTTGGTCACACTCGGCATTATTTTACAGCTGTTGCAACAGCCTCGTCATCTGCAGGGGTAGCAACTATAAAGGAGAAGGAGTATGTTGCCAGTCTCTTCTGTAAACTTGCAAACTTACTCAGACAGAAGAAGAGTGCATTCGGAGCTGATGCTCCTCAAGCAGTCAGATGTTTACAGATATTGATAAAGGCAGTGGATGCAAGATCCCTTGCTAAATCTCGTCCTGATTTTGTGAGAACATCAATGTTAACTTTCTTCAACAATGGTGCCTCTGACCTGGAAAAAACCATCGCTAATTTGAGACAAGGAAAGTATCCTCTTCTTAGAGGAAGTCACATTAAAACCTGCACTTCTCTCAAGTATATTTTTGATGTTCTTGGACCAGTATTTATATCAACCTTTGATCATTTATGTGCTTTGGAGTATGGGCAGGATTTGCTGGTTGATGAGATTCAGGTTGCTTGTTGGAGAATTCTGGAAAGCTTTTTCATCCTGGGAACTGACCTTCAGTTGACCAAAGCAAAAAAATTTATAAAAACAGATATAGCAAACTACAGATCCTCTATTGGTACAATTTTGTCTGCCATATCATCCACCTTCCCAGTAGCATTCTTAGAACCATCCTTGAGCAAGTTTAATCCTCACTCTGTTCTTGGATCAGGATTTTCTGACAGATCCCTTGAAGCCCAGGAGGTTACTGCCAGGTTCAACTCTAATGTTCCTGAGCTCGAGCAATTGGTTTCTAAATTTGACAAATATGTTGAGGAGATAAATGATTATAAAGAAGAACCTCATGTTATTGATGTGATTTTACCTTTACTCTGTTCTTACCTGCCAACTTGGTGGAGTCATGGTCCAGATAATGTCGATCCTAAGGGAGGATCACATATAACAATGGTCACATCAGAGAATCTGAATGTTCTTCTGAAGATTATTCTGAAGTTAATCATGAAGAATGCTGGAAATCCAGAAGCAGAATGGATGTCAAGGATCGCTCTGATATCAACTCAGATCATAATAAACACTTCAGAGGAGCTTCTGAAGGACCCTTTCCTTCCTCTAATGGAGAAAATTCGAACCTCTACAGTAAAGATGATGGAGAAGGAGGAGAACTGCCGAGGATATCTTAAGGCAGCAGCTGATGATGCTTCTCAGATAGAAGGGGAAATCCAGGAAGAATGGAATCTCATAGCTAGAGATATCTATGCGTTCTATCCTTTGTTGATCAAGTATGTGGATCTGCAAAGAACCTACTGGATCAGAAATAATATTGCTGAAGCAGAAACTGTTTACAATGCAGCTGGAGAAATATTCAACATCATGAAGGAATCATCTGTAAGTTTTTTTTTCTTATATTTAGCATTTCTTTTTACTAGTTTTATTATTTTAGTACTTTAAGAGGGAAGAACTCAACTTTATATCCAGTAATGAGTTGGACCCTATGTCCCTGATTATGCCTGGAAACCCTAGAACTAGACAACCAGTTGTTCAAGAAGCAGATAAATCTTCAAGTTCTAAGAAGAAGAAAGGAAAGAAAGCAGCAGCAACTAAAACTGATGCAACTAGTTTGCTAGTTGTTGCCCTTAAAAGACTCCTTCCAGTTGGGTTGAACCTGTTTGCTGGTAAAGAGCAGGAGCTGGTGCAACATTGTAAAGATAAATTCCTCAGTCAGAATGAAGAGGAGGATATTACAGAGTTCTGTAAAAACCAGTTGACCCTGCCAAACAAGTTCGATCCATCTGATGCTCTTCTATGGCAGCACCATCTATACTCAACACTAGGAAACAAACAATGTGTCTCTGCTGACAAAATGAAAACTGAAGAGCTAGAACTTCTTGTCAATAGGATTGTTGCGATGGGAAAAGTTCTTTACGGGCTCCATGTTGTAAGTATTTTACTTTACAGATATTTCATTTAAAAAACTGCTCTTAAATGTTTTTATATAAAAATTATAGAATTTGAATTCCTTTTATTCCAATTTTTCTTACTAGAAATTTTTTTTAAATCCTGGCAAAAAATCTTTATCTTTTTGTTTTTAGATTGATCATCCCTCGATAGCTGGAGGAAAGGGAAGTGCTCCTAAGGTTGTCTCTATCCAGAGAAAACGCGCTGTTATTGCCTGTTTCCGCCAAACTTCTCTGCATTCCCTACCCAAGCATGCTGCTATCAACCTGTTCTTAAAAACCTACACAGATGTCTGGTTGAATGATGAGAACAGTGGACAGGAAGTTATTATTGATCATCTAACAATGACTTTCGAGGAGGCTGAGATGAAGAAGTCTGAACCTGAAGAGGAATCTGCCTCAGCAGATCAACTAACTCAGCTTGTTCATATGTTCAGTCAGTCTGCAATCATGGAGAGGTCTGGCGACCTACCTGATGATGATTTGTACATGGCATACTGCGATATCATGGCTAAATCATGTGGAGGAGGAGAGGAGGAAGGAGGTGAGGAGGAAGAGGAAGGAGAAGGACCTTCTCTTCAGGAACAAGAGATAGAGAAGATGAGACTTGAGTTTAATCAGGGTAGGCTGGCAGAACGAGGAGTAGCGGAGATGGTTTTGAACAATATAACAGCTGGAAAAGGGAATGCTAGTGATATGATTGAGAAGACTCTAGGTCTAGGTATATCTATTCTTGAAGGTGGAAACCTTGATGTTCAATCTCAAATGTTAGAAATCTTGAAAGAAAAGAAAGAGTCTGGATTCTTCACATCGATTGCTGGACTCTTAGCTTCAGCATCCGTCCTCAACCTGGATGCTTTTGAGAGAAACACCAAAGCTGAAGGTTTAGGAGTTGGGCCTGATGGACCTGCTGGAGAGAAGAATATGCATGATGCTGAGTTTACAACCAGTCTTCTTAGATTTCTCCAGCTCACTTCTGAAGGCCATAACAACGACTGGCAGAACTACTTGAGAAATCAACCTGGAAATCCAACTATTGTAAATCTTGTAATCTGCACTGTGGATTATCTGCTCCGACTTCAAGAATCTATAATGGATTTCTACTGGTATTACTCCAGGAAGGAGCTGATAGATCCTGCCGGACAATCCAACTTCTTCACTGCTATCGGAGTAGCAAGTCAAGTTTTCAACACAATTACTGAGATTATCCAGGGTCCTTGTGTTGGTAACCAGCAAGCTCTAGCTATGTCAAGGCTGTGGGACGCGGTTGGAGGATTTCTTTTCCTGTTTGCGCATTTACAGGAGAAACTCTCTAAGAACGCATCCCAGGTTGATCTTCTGAAAGAAATCTTGAACCTGCAGGCAGATATGGTAGTGATGTTGCTCTCTATGCTTGAAGGTTAGATAGTTTATTCTTATATAATTGATTTAACATTAGAATAAGTTCTAATCTTTGTAACCCAGGAAATGTGTTGAATGGAACTATTGGTAAACAAATGGTGGATACCTTGGTAGAATCTACAGCCAATGTCGAGGTAGGTATCACTAAACTGTTTGAATATCCTAAAAATCTGAAAAAAAGTATCGTAAAATTCGCTAGGATATTTTTTATGATACAAGTCGAGGAAACAAGCATCACTTACTTTTAAAACATTAATAATTACAACAAAAATTCTTATCACTTTACAGATTGATTTGTGATGTTCATATCAGATAGATCGTCTTTAATATGATTTATTGAGAAGAACTGATGAATGTTCACTATATTGAAATAAAAGATTTTTACATTGTACATGCATGTACCCAGCTGGAGTACCAGGCGTTACACAGGGTTGAAAAGAAGTTTAAAAATCTCATTTTTAGCCTATGTCACCCCCGGGGAAAGTGGGTTTCTGAAAAAAATGTCGGCAACGGTATATCTGTTTGGCCAGCTATATCGAAATAACATAAATAAATGAGCAAAAAACCTTATTATATAGAACATGTATAATGGCTGATTGAGAAAAGTAACTCTTCTTAAACAGTATATTATGTTTTAGATGCTATAAAATAATAATATTGTCATTCTCTAGCTGATTTTGAATTACTTCAAATTGTTCCTAAGCCTGCCAAGTGAAGAGGTTTGTAATGGAGAGATATCCATGTATTCATTGCAACCCTTGATTCTAATCCAGATATTTTATCTCCGTACTTACCCTTTTGATTTTAACATGTGCGTGAATCTTGAAAATCTGATACCCTGAACTTCGGAGTCATCGAAAGAATTTATAAAATGTCGTCTGGCAATTTTTCAATGGTTTTTTTCTTTTATACCAAAATCTTAGTAACTATTAAATAAATAAATAGCCATGAAATATGCGGGAACAATTTAAAAGTGCTCTATATTATTAGTTATTCAATTAAAAAAATTTAATATCTGAAGCATTTCATTATAGGATGTTTAGAAAACGACATTTAAAAACTCTTTCAATGCCTCCGAAGTTCTGGGTTATTAACTGTATGTAAATTGTAGTTGATGCACAGATACCTCCATAAACTCTAATCCTTCTGTGCTAGTCGATGCACATTTAATAACCCTATTTTTGTATCCCTCTATCCTAATCTATGTTTTGCAATCCCTAAACTCAAATCCTTCTCGTGCTGGTCGTTTCACATTTAAAAATCCTTTTTGGATCCTTATATTATATTATCTGTTTTACAATCCAAAAAATCTAATGTCTCTGCTCTAGTCGATGCAAAAATAATGATCCCTTTTTTATCCATCTATCCTATGCTTTGCAATCCATAAACTCTAATCCCTCTTGTGCTGGTCGATGTACAAATAATAATCCTTTTTTGCTCCCTGTATTCTATTCAATATTTTGCAATCCATAAACTCTGGTCCTTCTGTTCTAGTCGATACACAGATGATAATCCCTTTTTATCCCTCTATCCTAATCCATATTTTCCAAATCATAATCTCGAATCCCTCTCGTGCTAGTCGATGCACAGATAATAATCCTTTTATTAATTCCTGTATTCTAATCTATTTATGTTTTGCAATCTATAAACTCTAATCCCTAGCTCTCGGGCTAGTCGATGTAATAATTTTAATCTTTTTTTAATTCCCTTTATTCTGATCTTTAGGATTTGATTCCTTTATTTTCATCCATACATTCTGCCTTAAAATCCATACATTCTGCCTTAAAATCCATACATTCTGCCTTAAAATCCATACATTCTGCCTTAAAATCCATACATTCTGCCTTAAACATTCTGCGTTTTGTTTTATTGAAGTTGCTTTTATTTCTTAATTTTAGAAAACTATCTCATTTTAAATACTTGAATACACTTAAAAGTCGGCTCGGTCTCAATAGTGGATGCATCATTCTCATAATTGTGTAGCTCGGTGTGAAGAATAATGAGTATAAAACTAGGAAGTCTATATAGACTATAATAAACTGCAACAGATGCAACTAAAGAAATCAGGTCATGCTTATAAACTGCAGTTTTTTTTAACTCCAAAATAGCTTATATTTAGGCGGTTGGGGGGGCAGTCTGACAGGATTCAATTTTGAACTGTTTCTCGAAAAGGAGAATGTAAGATATCTTCTTTCCCTCTGGATTTGTCAAAAATTTGAAAATTGTAAAATTCAATAAAGAAATCCAGGAATGAAACTGCAAATCCTGTTTATTTTAAATAGCTGCAACAAGAGTTGAGTTGAAACTTCCAAGGTATTTATTCAAGATAATTTATTTAAATATTTTTACGAAACTTAACTTGCAGATTAAGTATACTCAAATACAGATTATATTTTTATTATTTCTGACCTGAACCCGCATGATTTCCTCAATTAACCTAAACTAACCTACTTGTTTTGTTAAAATATGAAATAAAAATATGGGAACTGAAAGTTGACAGAACTTTTCTTGAATTTCCATGTTTTTTGACTAACTCTGTATCTCTAGCAGTTATGTATAGTTGGTTTCTTTACTGTCTAAAGTACTTAAATTCACTAAGGAGAACCAACTATAATGTTTTAAACAAACAAATAAAAACTTTGCATTAATTTACGATTATTTCCAGTTTTAGAAACAATTTACTCCGCTTTCTCTGAATCCTTATCTAAGTAATGTTTTCTGGAACCCGGATCCCGGAGCTATCTCTAATCCTGTTCTGTCTCTAGCTAAAATTATGACCAAGAGTAGAAAACTCTGCATGCTTTTCTAACCCTAAATACACCACAGCTTCAACCTTGCCATTTATACTTTAATTTCAGTCATGACATCAGATGAGATAATTTAGAGGTTGCAGATGTGGTTCGATAATGTATAGCTCTAGGTATAGATTTAGACTAGAATATTACTAATAGGAGATGGATGAGAACGGAGACGGAACAGTTTCTCCACGTGAGATGAGAGACAGATTAGAAGCAACTAAAAACTACACAAGGTACATAGATGAATATTGAAATCAAATCAACTATCAAGATTTTCAAAATTTTGAATTTAAAAAAGAACATGGTCATTTGAGTTTCTTAGCTTTAAATTAATTGAAATGTTGCCAAATATTTATTTTATTTGTTTTCATTTAAAAACTTCCAAGAAAAGTTCAGAATTTTTTTTTAACTTATGCATTTCTAGAGAAGAGATTGAGTTCTTGTTGCTCTGCTGTGAGGAAAACCATGAGGGAAAAATCGACTACGTTGCCTTCAAGGACACCTTCTACGAACCCTCAAAGGCTATCGGGTTCAACCTGGCAGTTCTTCTCACCAACCTCTCGGAGCATATGACCAACGATCCTAGGTTGGCCAAATTTCTGGAGACGGCCGCGTCGGTTCTCAACTTTTTCGAAGCTTTTCTGGGCAGAATTGAAATCAAAACTGCGGATAAGGTTGAAAGGGTCTATTTTGAAATTGATGAGGCCAATATTGAACAGTGGGAGAAACCTCAGATTAGAGAATCTAAAAATGCATTCTTCCACAATTGCATCAGCGAGGGAGAGGGCGAACGGATGGAGCAATTCGTTGATTTCTGCGAAGACGCCATTTTTGAGATGCAAATGGCTGCTTCTTTAATGGCGACTGATGAAGAAGTTAAGACCGTGAAGGCAGCTCCATCTATACCTGGAGAGGATGAACCAAGAGGAATTATTGCTCCACTCAAGGAAAATATAGCTCTAGGGATAAGTACAGTAGTGAATGGTATAAAGATGTTGCACCCTGCAAATATATCTGCTGGGATCGCAAAGCTGAAGACAATGACACCTTTAGAAATTGTCTTGGGTATGTTTACTCTAATGTTCTATTGTATATACGGAGTAGGACTTGGAACAATCTGGGTTAATCAGATAGTTTTCGGAACCATTCTCAAACTGATGAGAGGACAGCAGAAGGAAGTGCAGAAAACAGGTGCCGGAGAAATCGCAAGTTTCAAGAAAGCTCCGATTGTGGAGGCTAAACCTTCAGGGCCGGCTTCGGAGATATCAACAGTTCATTCTAATCAACCTCCTTCTGAAGCATTCGCCTCTGCTCTTGGAATATCCGACAGTCTAGAGAAGCTAGCTCAAGAAAAGAAGGAAAAGGATGATCTCGCAGCACAACAAGAAGCTGCAATGAAAGCTGCTGAAGATGCCAAGAGGAAAAAAGCTGCTTCAACATCGTCAGCTGCCCCATCATTCAATTTTGGAAAGTATTTGAAAAAAATGACAAGTTTCTTGGCAAGAAACTTTTTCACCATGAAGTTTGCCGCCCTCGTGATTGCCTTCATCATCAACTTCATGCTTCTATTCTACAGAGTATCACAGATTGAGGAGGATGGAGAACCTATTGAGGATGATGGAATGGGAGGTTTAGAAATGGACATAGATGAAGATTCTATTGGAGATGATCTTGCTCCTCCAGATGATGAAACTGCCCTTGAAGTCGGAGATGATGGAGAAGGTGGAGATGAGGAGGATGTTGAAGAATATATTCATGTTGAAGAAAGATTTTACTACCTGGAGTATATAATTAGTATTCTCGGTCTCATCCATGCTCTTCTCTCTTTTTGTATGCTAATTGCCTACTACAACCTCAAGATCCCTCTAGCTATCTTCAAGCGGGAGAAGGAGGTTGCCAGGAAGATGGAGTTTGATGGAATCTATATATCCGAGCAACCAGAAGATGATAACTTGAAAGGACACTGGGACAAAATGGTGATCTCTGCCAAATCATTCCCAGTCAACTATTGGGATAAGTTTGTCAAGAAAAGGGTCAGGGAAAAGTATTCTGAAACCTTTGAATTTGATGCTCTGTGTGAAATCCTGGGTATGGAGAAGAGTGCAATCCCCGCTGAGAGCAGTGAAGAAACAGGAATAATGGCAACATTGAAGTCAATAGACTGGAGATATCAAGTCTGGCAGGTTGGAGTTACTGTTACAGATAATGTAAGTGCAATAAATATGATTTTAATTATTGATTGATCTGGAAATAAATTTATATTATTTCAGACCTTCCTCTATCTTCTATTCTACTTTATTTTCTCTGTGCTGGGTAACTACAACTATTTCTTCTTTGCTGCACATCTGATTGATGTAGCTGTAGGAGTACCTGCTCTCAGGATCATCCTGCAGGCTATCACATACAACGGGAAGGAGTTGGTTCTCACTGTGGGTCTTCTCTCCATTGTCTGCTACATCTACACCGTCCTTGCCTTCAACTTCTTCCGTGAGTTTTATGTAGCTGAGGGAGAAGAGGGAGAGGATCCGGATCAGAAATGTCACGATATGTTCACGTGCTTCGTCTTCCATCTGTATCAAGGAGTTCGAGCTGGTGGTGGTATTGGTGACGTCATTGAACCACCTGATGGAGCAGATAACGAGTTTGTGAGAATCTTCTTCGATATTTCATTCTTCTTGTTCATCATTGTCATCTTGCTTGCCATCATTCAAGGTTTCATTATTGATGCGTTCGGAGCATTGAGAGATCAGCTGCAAGGAGTAGAGGACGAACTCTCAAATAATTGCTTTATTTGTGGCATTGGAAAGGACTATCTAGACGGAATACCGCATGGATTCGATATCCATGTGCAGAAGGAGCACAACCTTGCAAACTATCTATTCTTCCTGATGTATCTGATTAACAAGGATGAGAATGATTACACAGGACAGGAAACATATGTTTGGAACATGTATCAAGAAAGGTAATTTTATTAAGTTTCAAGATCTGATTCAACGCAATATTATTTTTAATCCAGGTGCTGGGACTTCTTCCCTGCCGGAGACTGCTTCAGGAAGCAGTATGAGAGTGAACTTGGAGGAGGAGGAGGATAATTCTCAACCTTAATTAGAATTCTGGAAAAGAATTAGCACGGGACGGAATTTAATTACTATATAATCCTGACAGGGTAGGATACAATTCTATCCTGACAGGGTAGGATACAATTCTATCCTGACAGGGTAGGATACTATTCTATCCAGACAGGATAGGATACAATTCTATCCCGACAGGGTAGAATACAATTCTATCCTGACAGGGTAGGATACAATTCTATCCTGACAGGGTAGGATAAATTCTATCCTGACAGGGTAGGATAAATTCTATCCTGACAGGGTAGGATAAATTCTATCCTGACAGGGTAGGATACAATTCTATCCTGACAGGGTAGGATACAATTCTATCCTGACAGGGTAGGATACTATTCTATCCTGACAGGGTAGAATACAATTCTATCCTGACAGGGTAGAATACAATTCTATCCTGACAGGGTAGGATACAATTCTATTCTGACAGTGTAGGATAAATTCTATCCTGACAGGGTAGGATACTATTCTATCCAGACAGGATAGGATACAATTCTATCCTGACAGGGTAGGATACAATTCTATCCTGACAGAGTAGGATACTATTCTATCCAGACAGGGTAGGATACAATTCTATCCAGACAGGATAGGATACAATTCTATCCTGACAGGGTAGGATACTATTCTATCCTGACAGGGTAGGATACTATTCTACCCTGACAGGGTAGGATACTATTCTATCCTGAAAGGGTAAGATACTATTCTATTCAGACAGGGTTAAATATATTTCTATTACAAAAGGTCGAATAAGTTTTTTGTTTTGTTTTGATAGAATAGAAAATAAACCTAGCTTTATTAAATTAAATTAAAAATTTTTCGAAGATCTTTTATGAAGAGAGATTTTCCAACTTATGTTTTTTCAAGCACAATCTTTTCCATTTTATAAATTTCACATAAATTTTAAGCTGTTTTTATTATAAAAGATCTTAATAGTTTTTATTAGTTTATAGAGGAAATCTGTTGACATCCCTGAATACATTTTGATATAAAGTTAATTTAATCTGTAGATCTCAGGTTCCAAGTGTATAATATTACATAGGATTTTAAATATAAAAGAAACAGGGCTCAGATTAAACCCTTTACCATTCATTGGTGAAAATATAAATCTGAATATCAAATTAGACCTTCGATATTTCAAACTATGAATTCTGTATGATCAATGAATTTAAAATAGAAATGTCAAAGGTTTACACCATCAGGTTGAAAAGATATACGGATTTGAGAATTTGAGTTTGTGTTACCGAAATCAAAGATGTTTTACAAAGAAAAAGTTTTCAAAATGGGGGGTGGGGTGGGGCGGAATAGGTACAGGAGAGAAAATATTTATATACATTTTAAAGAACTATGTAATTTGCCAGTTACAATAATAAGAAAACTTGGATTGTTCTACAAAAAACTTGTGTCACAAGATCTAGACTTGATTGTCGAAATATAAATATATATATAAAGATATTGTAGCATAATAGCTAAACTTAATCACACTTCGTTACAAAGAACTTGTAACATAGTAGCTAAACTTGATTACAATTTGTTACAAAGAACTGTAACATGACGAATAAACCTTATCTGTTTTCTACAAGTCAGTCTAAAGCGTATCTGTAGAAAAAGTTAAAGGGGAATATACGAAGCCATTTCAAATTACTCTGTATTCGACATAACAAATTCACAACGGCACCCAACGAGGTCATAGTGTATAGAGTGATGATGTACGCTAATCCTTTACCAATTGTATAGGCCAAGACCAGGGAGTAAGGAATAGAAGGGAGATACAACTGACGCGGTTCGCCCTACCATATGATTTTACATGCTTTGCAGACGGTACTCCATTTGTATAAGAAATATTCAGAATAGGTTATTGTATACGCAGTAAATGTACATCAGACAAATATTTCTTATACAAATGAAATACCGTCTGCAAAGCATGCATAATCATATGGTAGGGCGAACCGCGTCAGTTGTATCTCCCTTCTATTCCTTAATCCCTGGCCAAGACTGTACCGAGAGCGTACTGCATATTTGTTTATTATCAGGAGATTCTGGCCTAACCTATAGTATATTATTATTAGTAAACTGTTGTAAGTGTACGGTACAGCTAACTGAGCACACAGGTAGGAAATTATCATACCCCCTGGCGATACCCTTGAAATTTGGTATGGGCACAATAGATTGATAATTCCTTTTTTTCTTCTTAATTTATAAATTTTCCTCAAAAAAGTCACTTGCGTATTAATGCAATTGAGACAAGGCTGGCAATTGACAGAGTTTATCTCTTTTCAAGACGACGATATCTTCCTCATGGTTATACTTTTAAATAGGACACGTGTTTCTTTAAACAGAGGGTCTCTTCAAAGAACTGTACAGTCCCTTTAAAGAAGAAAACGTCCTGTTCTTAAATGAATAAAAATGCATCGTAGAGTTTTTTGACAAAAAAATCTTTCAGAGCTTTGTCTAAAATCTTTTATTTGGATGAGTGCTCTTGATATATTGCATGTATACATTATACAATATATTTGTCGGTGCACTGCAAAATATTTTCAATATATTTGCATACATTTGTTCAGATCAATTTAAGACTGTTTTAAGGATTCAAATAAATAATTCAATTCAACAGATGTATAATCTTTAATTTTGGTGTTAGAAACTCTTTATTTAAAACCAATAATCTACCATAGCAGCATATACTAAGGGAAGTTAGGGGACTTAGTTCTATGAAACAAATTGGCAATTACGCAATGGAACATAAAATGTCAGAATCAGACGCGCATAAGAATCAATGTATCCTTCCAAACCAAACCTTAAGACGAGGTCCGCAAAAGGTGCAACACGACATAATTGCTAAAATTTTTGCTTTATGTAATTTTTTTGTTATATGCCATATTTGCTATATAAGTTTTTTCTATGTGAAAAACGTCCTTGCCTGTTCTAGCAGCAGTGTTTCACCGAGTTGGTAAATGGAATTCACAACTAGCTGTTTAGTCTGCATTAAAAATCGAAAATCAATAAATTAAAAAGTTCGGAGAGCTGTGTAAACTGTAAAGTTTTTTCGCAAGGTCCGATGCAACTGAAGACATGCCAGAGTACCAATTGTTATTTTTTTCTCCAAGTTTCAAAGGTAAAGAAAAATAACATTTAGATTAATACAAAACTCATAAATTAATATGTAAAAACATATTATTACCAAAATGGTGCGCAGGGGTGCAATTTGGTTCTCTACATTTAGAATTTAATTATAAAAACATACTGTTTATAAAAAGATATATGTTTTTAATTTGATGCAGTACTCATGGATTTATGAAAACATTGATTGTAATTCTCAAAAAAATCTTTGCCCGACGGATTTTGCTAAACTATACACCCCAAATAGAATTGAAAATTGATAAAATTGGTTAATAATTAAACTGAGTTTTGGCCACAAACTCAGATTTTTAATCCCTATATCTTTGAAACCCGATGTCATTGACCTTTCATATTTCAAGCTAAGAATTCTGTTAGAATAAATAGACTAAATCTAAAATATCGAAGATTTAAACCAGGTAGAAAATATATAGAGATTGAACACTTGAGTTTGTTGAGGAAATAAGTTCTTTTTTATTATAAAAAATCAAAGTTTTTTTCAAAATATCTCTGTAAATTTAAAAATATCTCTGTAAATTTTAAATATAAGAAAACAGTATACCCAATTTTGGAACCCTCACAGTGATTTTAAGATTACATGATAATAATAGTTGATAATTTACAGTAAACATGTCTAGTGCTACAAAAAGTATTTGTGAGCTAATAAGATAAAATTAAAGGCGAAGACGTTGCGATTCTTTATAGTCTTGAAAATTGATGCAACTTTTCATAGAAAAGAAGGCCCTGTATATCACACAAATTAACCTTATTGATGCCCTATTTTCAAAAAAGCTATTTTGGTGACACCATGCGATGAAAAAAATACATAAAAATTTGAAATATCATCATTTTCCGTAGTTTACTTTACCCTTAGTGCAATTCCAGTAAATGTTCTCTGTCATGTCTAAGATATCGGGGTTCGGAGAAAGGTTCTGAAAACACCGGAACTTCTAGGTCTGGGCTACTGTTGAGACACGTGATCGATTATATTTCTCAGAGACATAAAACCAACAACTGTTTACAATGTGTACTGCAGTGTACAATAAATGTAGACCAGAAACTAGCAAAAACAAAACATAATGATGTTTTAAAAATGTTACTTTTCCTAGATAAGTATAGTAAAACTTTAATGATAATATTGTTATTCTATAAGCATCAAGAAACACTAGATTTAATCGTTCTTAAAACTGAAATTCTTGGAATGGATTTTGAAACTGTCCTGGAGTTGTTAAAATAAAAAATTTATTTTTAAAAGATAAAAGTGCCGTTTTTATTGTCACAAGTGACTCATCATTTGAAGAGTGCCAAAAATCAGGCAAAAACGATTCAATTGGAACCATTTAAACTGTATGTTTGTCAAGAAAATATTAACTATTTTGAAAAGCGCCTCAGGAATTTCTACAGCAAAAGAAGAAATACATTTTAGGCCCTTTTTGGTTCCACTTCATACAGTAAAACAACCAAAAGTTACCATTTTTTCCATATTAAAGGTTGTTTGCACCACTCTTTTATTAAAACTTGCGATATCAATAGTTAACTGGATTAAAAACCAAATTTTTTATATGTTTAGATAATCCTGGTATATGTTAATATGTTTAGATGATCCTGGTATATGTTGATATGTTTAGATGATCCTGGTATATGTTGATATGTTCCTGAAACTGAAAGATATCTCCGACTCTCCCTCCTTTAAGGAATCTGATATTAACCATGACGGAACAATATTTCCCAAGGATTTCAAGGACAAACTGGAATCTTCTAAGAAATATTCAGGGTTGGTAAAATCATTCACATTTAAATATCTATTAAATAAATACCCCCCTCCCCTTCCCATTATAGTGCATTAATTATTGAACCACATAGTGTTATTATCTCTTGATACAAAATTTTCAAAAAGTATTTCTGCAAACTCATGAAAAAGCTTTTATGGAAATAAACCTTATAAAAAGAATGGAGGAGATAAAGTGGTAAACTTAAAGAAACTATCCAAGATTGGGAATTAAATCAAGATAACAGAAAACTATTATATATTTGGCTGCAACAAGGACCCTTGCGGAAAAGATTACAGCTAAGAACTGATATTTCTGATTACAGGGAAGAACTGATATTTCTGATTACAGGGAAGAGCTGATATTTCTGATTACAGGGAAGAACTGATATTTCTGATTACAGGGAAGAACTGATATTTTTGATTACAGGGAAGAACTGATAATTCTGATTACAGGGAAGAACTAATATTTCTGATTACAGGAAAAAACTTATATTCCTGATTTCAAGGAAGAGCCGATATTTCTGATTACAGGGATGAAATGATATTTCTGATAACAGCGAAGAATTGATATTTTTGAGTTCAGGGAAGAACTGATATTTCTGATTACAGGGAAGAAATGATATTTCTGATTAGAGAGAATAACTGATATCTATGATTACAGGGAAGAGCTGATATTTCTGATGAGCTGTGTCCCTGAAACGAACCACGAGGGGAAGGTTGACTATGTAGAGTTTGTTGAGATGTACTACGAACCTGCTAAAGCTATCGGTATTCCGTCAAATATAATACATAATGGAAATTCTTCAACTCGAAAACCATTTTATTTTCCCAGCTTGTCTTTCTGAAACTATTTAAAAAT